CTTACATGTCTAAGGCGGGACTAGAACTCTCAGTCTCCTGGTGATTGGCCCAAAGTCACCCAGCTGGTTTTCATGGCTGTGGTAGGATTAGAACTCACTGTCTCTTAATGATTGGCCCAAAGTCAGCCAGCCGGTTTTCCTGCTTAACGCTGGAACTAGAACTCCCCGTCTCCCAGTTTGTATTTTGATGCCTTTAACCACTAGACCAGAGGTGCTTGGTGGTTGGTTGCCTCGTAGCATGGAGGACCCTGCTAGGTTCGTAACTATTTTTCCAGACGCCCGATCTGCCGCCTTGATGACCCCAACCGCAGAGATGGGTACGTCGGGCCTCCAACCCAAAGCATTGCCATCGAGATATAACCTTCCCTGTGCTGTGGTCTCACCCATGATGAAATCAGGTGAGGTGCTTCCTTGAGACCCAACCGATCCAGTTCCGGGGCTCAGAGAGGCCTCCCATCCAGCCCTGACTTGGGACTTCTTGGTTCTCTGAATCCCACCAACATCCTCACGGAGCTGAGGCACCGCCCCCTTCTCCGGGCCACCTCCCGGGGTCCCCCTGCAAGCCGTTTTAACTTAGGTACGGCAAATTGTGGGGCCTCGGCCTCTGGGGGGGGTGCCTCTCTTGGACCTTAAAATGCAGGGTCTCCCATGTGGAGAGTTTGCATGAGCTTCTGTCTTGTCCTCTCCTGAGGCCAGCAGAGGATCTCTGGATGCTGATAGCTCTTCTTTGGCATGAGGAGAGCAGACTGTGAACCGGCCAGGAGTCTCCTCAAACGTCGGTCTCTTCCAACATATAATTTCATTCTTCTCTAGGAGGCTCACAGTTCTGGTGAGGACCATGCTAGGTTCCATCGCTTTGCTTAGATCTCTTGCCTGAACAATATCCTCTATGTCACCCTGCCTTTAGATGGGAAGGAGAATGACAATCAGGAGGTGGAGATGCCAAATGAAGTGGTGCGTTCAATGGAGGAGTGGCACCCGACCAGACAGGAGAACGTACCACCCCCCAGAAGGTAAGAAGGTTCTGCTTCTTGGATGCCATCCCGCATAGACTCTCCCTTCTTCTGGAATGGGATGTTCCTCCAGCTTTGGGGCTCCAGAACTGCCTGTAACAGAATAACAAGAGTTGGAAGGGACCTTGAAGGTCTTCTAGTCCTACCCCCCACCCCCCAGTTCAAGCAGGAACCATTTCAGACAAATGGTTGTCCGGTCTCTTAAAAACCTCCAATGATGGAGCACTCACAAGTTCTGGAGGCACGTTGTTGTGCTTATGGATTGTTCCCACTGTCAGGACATTTCTCCTTAGTTCTAGGCTGGTTAGACTTTAGATAATAACTTTATTGTCACTTTAAATGTACACTAATTAGCATACATTAAAATGAAATTTCATTGCATACAGCTCTCAAAAGGTCACCACCTCCAATATACACTACATAAACATGCCAATAAATTATGAATATACCCATCAATATTATATGACAGAGAAACGCCACGGTCTAGTTCGGATGAATACATGTATGTGGTGAGAGAAACAAATCTTGCGAGTTTGCCAGATGGATTTGATAGGGAACAAAGCCCTTACAGAATCTGGAAGTCCTGCAAGAAATAGTTTGAAATCCCCTCCCTATGGATGATTGATTGATAGATATAAATATTGATAAACTTAAAATAACTTTGTCACTTGAATGCACACTAACCGGCATACATTAAAATGAAATTTCATTACATACAGCTCTCAAAGAGCCACTTCCAATATATACTACATAACCAAGGCAAAATAAATAGAAAATTATGCATATACCCACTATATTATATGACACGGTGAAACAACACAGTCTTAGTTCAGGTGTATACATATATCTGGTGAGAGAAAAACTATCTTGTGAGTTTACCAGATGGATTTGATAGGGAACAAAGCCGTTACAGAATCTGAAAGTCCTGCTAGAAATAGTTTGAAATCCCCTCCCAGAGGGGAGCAGCAGAAACAGACCGTGAAGTGGGTGTGTGGGGTCTCTAACAAGGCTTCCAGCTCTTAGCACCTGGCGCTTATAAGCAGAATCCTGAATAATGGGAAGCGAGCTTCCTATACTCTTCTCTACCGTCATCACCACTCCCTGTAGGGACTTTCTATCTGAGGTGCTGCCACCAAACCAAACAGGGATGCAGTTTGTTAAAACACTCTCAATCGTGCCTCTGCAAAAAGCGGCCAGCACAGAAGTAGAAAGATATGCTTCAGTCCAGTCTCTTTTGAAAACCTTCCTGAAGGCAACTTCTGGTCCATCCGCTGATTGATCTCACTGTCAGGAAATTCCTCCTTATTTCCAGGTTGAATCTCTCCCTGGTCAGTTTCCATCCATTATTCCTTGTCTGGCCTTCGGGTGCTTTAGAACAGCGGTCGCCCACCGGTGGGCCGTGAGAAAATTTTGGTGGTCCGCAGAGAAATCTCACCCCCAGAGCACCCCCCACAAAGCAATTAATCCAGGCTGTGCAGAAACACAAGGCTGCTCCGCCCACATGGCCCCCGGGAACCCTCCCCGCCCACTCACTCCTTACCCAGCAAACTTGCCTGCTAAATTGCTATTTTTTCCTTTTTCTGACCATCATCTGTTCTGCTGTGCTGGGAGATTTAGATTAGCTAGGAAGCAGGAAATGGTTGGATTTCTTGCTTTCTAGCTAGTCTTTTGGTCTTTGGCTCAGCACTGCCGAACCTCCCTTAGGACTGAAGGTTTGCTTGCAAGCAAATTCAGTGCAGACTCACAGCAAGCAGATTTGAGAGACTGAGCTAGCCGATGGTAGATAGATAGATCACTGAATGAATCTGTGATTCTGTGAGCAGCTCAATCTGCCTGCTTTGCCTGATTTGAGGTAAATGTTGGTTTTTTATATAAAAAATTCAATATTTATATAAATAATACATACAAGCCATGCCCAGCTAGTCACATGACCACCAAGGCACACCCACAAATTAGGCCACATCCACATAACCGGTTAGTGGTCCCTGGGATCTAAAATTATGAGTTTGGTGGTCCCTCAGGTCCAAAAGGTTGGTGACCCCTGCTTTAGAAAATAGCTTGACCCCTTTTTCCTCTCTGTGGCAGCCCTTCAAATATTGGAAGACTGCTATCCTGTCTCCCCTGGTCCTTCTCTTCCCTAGACTAGCCAGGCCGAGTTCCTGCAACTGTTCATGTTTTAGTCTCCAGTCCCCTCATCATCCTGGTTGCTCTTCTCTGCCCTCTTTCTAGAATCTCAACCTCTTTTTTAAAAAATCGTGGCCACCAAAACTGGAGACAATATTCCAGAATTATAAAGTGGCATTAACACTTCAAGCGATCTTGAACGATAGGAGACTACACTTTATTAAGATCCTTAATTTACAACTATTGGTTTAATGGTTCACACTTGTGTCACGTGATCAAAATTCAGCAACTGACTCACGACAGTCGCAGTGTCCCTGGGTCCCGTGATCCCCTTTTGGGGCATTCTGACAAGCCCAGTCAAATGGGGGAAGCCAGGTTAGGTAACAACCATGTTACTAACTGGACTCAGTCAGAATAGAGGTGGAAGAGTCCTTGGAAGTCTTCTGCTCAAGCAGCAGACCCTATACCAGGGCTGGCAAACCTATGGCACGCCTGCCAGAGGTGGCATTCAGAGACATTGCCCCCCAGCCCGTTGCCCGTTTCTCACCGTCTCGCCAATGGAGGAGACCGGGTCCCCTCTGCCTGGAGCACATTACGACACGGAGCAATGATTGCGAGCCTGCATCGTCGCGGGTTCGCTTCCGCCTCCCGGATGTCAGTTGCTTTTCCTGCAGAGCTGCTGATGTTGTGATGCCCCACTGGCCAGCTGGTGTTCGGCTCTCTGCCAACCAACTGATTGTCGGTGTGCTGCTCCTGGGATTCACACCGCTCAGGCCAGCACCAGTTCAGAGGTTTTACACACACACACACGGGGGGGGGGGGGGGGGGGGGAGGGGAAAGAGGCGGGGGGGGGGGGGGGGGGGGGGGGAGAGAAAGACACAGAAAAAGAGGGAGGAAGGGAGAGAGGAAAAGAGGAAGGGGGAAGAGTGAGACAGAGAAAGGGAGGGAGGGGAAGAGGGGGAAGAGGGAGGGAAAGCAAAAGAGTGGAAGAGGGGGAAAGAGACAGGAAAGGAGAGAAAGGGAAGGAGAGAGAGAGGGGGGGAAGAGGGAGGGAAAGAGAAAGGAAGAAAGGAAAGGGACAGACAGGGAGGGAGGGGGAAGAGAGGGAGGAGGAAAAGAGAGAAAGAGGGAGAGAGACGGAGGGAAAGAGAAGGAGGGAAGGAGAAATGATATTACAGACGGTTTTTTTTTTATTGCTGCTAAATGTAACATTTCAAAAGCAGGAAAAAAAATGGGGCATAAAAATCACATTTTTAAAGATCCATTAGCTGAACTCTGCCTTGTTTATCATTTTTGGTAGTAAAACCTCATTCAGGTTAAATTGCCCCGTTGGCATTTTGCGATAAATAAGTGGGTTTTGGGTTGCAGCTTGGGCCCTCGGTCTCTAAAAGGTTTGCCATCACTGCCCTGGACCATTTCTTGAAAGCCTCCAGTGATGAAACACCTACACCTTCTGGTAGTAAGCTGTTCCGTTGATTAATGGTCCCCACTGTCACAAGGCTTCTCCTTAATTCTAGGCTGCTTCTCTCCTTGATTAGTTGGTAATTTTCTCTCCTTGGTAATTTCCCACCCATTGCTGCTGCTCCTGCCTTCAGGTGCTTTGGAGAATAGGTTGACCCCTTCTCTTCTTTGGGCAGCCCCTCCAATATTGGAAGGCTTCATTAGGTCACCCCGAGTCTTTCTCTTCCTTAGAACAGCAGTGTTTGAAGGGACCTCGGAGGTCACCCTTGCCAACAGCAGCAGCCCCCCCTAGCATTTCAGACAAGCGGCTGTGTCTAATCTCTTTAAAAACTAGTGATGAAGCACCCACACCTTAATAATTTTGGCAAGGAAGATCATAAAATGGAGCAAAAGTCCCTTAACAACTGTTTTGCTCAGCGACACAGATTTGGGGCTCCATTGGTATTGTAAGTAGAGGACTACCTGTACTATCAATATGGAAAAAATGACAAATCTTGTTTGTCCAGCACATTTTTCTGCCAGGGGCCAGAGATCGTCAAGCTTCTCTACCTGGAAAGGCTCAACTGTCTCTCTTCCCTTGTGAGAATAGCCAGTTGGATTTGAAGCAGCTCTGCATCCTGGCATAGCCGAAAATCAACGTCCAGCCTCTCTCTGTCCTTATCTAGGCTTCCCAAGAACATGAAGCCGACTCCTCGTCCCGATAAAACCCCTTTTGTTCGGGTTAAAGCGAATTCCTCTCCAGCAAAGTCCCGGCAAACAGTCTTTCAAGAGATTACACAACCACAGACCTTGATCAGGCTTGGAGAGTCGCCAGGCCGATAGCTTCCAAACGCCACGCTGTAGCAGCAATGACTTGGCAAGGAATCAGGAACAGATCTTTACCTTAATGAAATGAACTAATTGTCTCCTGCAAATCCCACTCCCCTTTTGCTTCTCTTTATTCCCTATGGGAGGAGCCATTCACCATCCAACTGAGCCTTTACTCCTGAGTCGATCCTTGTTCCTTAGCTGTTCCCTTTGTCTGGCAGCTCTGTGCATGAGCACATTGGAACAGGCTCCAGTTGTTCTTCTGCCCCACTGATCTCAGACTCCGAAGGCAGCTGGTAACCGCCAGATGGCACTGGTCCCATTTCTGCCTCCGACGCAGAGCCTTCCCAAGACTCCAGGACTGGCCCATGTTCTCCCCAATCTCCTCGCTGTCTGAGTCTGCCGCCAGCTTTGCTGGCCACCGGCGGGCCACAACACACTCTCCCCCCTCCCTTCCTCTCTCTTTTGCTCAAGGACTCTTTTTCTTTCTCCCTTTAGGGTGGCCAAGAAGCTTTCGGCCCAGCGAAAGAGTGCCCAGCATCGGCTTATGGCCAAAAGCTATGCAGAGAAGGTTGCCACCGCCTTGGCCAGCAAAGATGAACCCCCTCCTGGAAAGAAACAGAAAATGTAGGTCTCTGGGATAACACCGGCACTTAAACTTAGATAACCACGCCACAGTGCTTTACAGCCCTCTCTAGGCAGTTTACAATGGCGGCATTTTTAGCCTCTGGCCCCCAACCAATCTGGCTCCTTGTTTTAGACCGACCTCGGAAGGAGGGAAGGCTGAGTCGGCCTTGAGCTGAGTCAGAATCGAACTCTTGGCAGTCAGCAGAGTTTTCCTGCAATACTGCATTCTGATCATTGCCTCAACAGATATAGAATGAGTGAGGATAGATAAATGGGTGGGTTGGAGAGATACAGATGTGGATACATACAGATGTGTGTTGGGTAGATATAGATGTGTGTGAGAGAGAGGTGATACAGAGATAGATAGCAATAGTACTTAGAGAGGACTGTGAAGCAGTATATAAGTCTAAGAGGTTTACAGAGTCAGCCTCTTTGCCCCCAACAATCTGGGTCCTCATTTTACTGACCTTGGAAGGACGGAAGGCTGAGTCAACCTTTAGAAAGAAGGAAGGAAGGGAAGTAATGTGGAAGGCAGGAAGGTAGCAATAGCACTTAGACTTATATCCCGCTTCGCAGTGCTTTTACAGCCCTCTCTAAGCGGTTTACAGAGTCAGCCTCTTTCCCCTCACCTCGGAAGGAGGGAAGGTTGAGTTGACCTTTCATCCTTGGTCAGGATCAAACTCCTAGCAGTGAGTTAGCCTGGAGTGTTGCATTCTAACCATTGTGCCACCGGATATCGAATAGGTGATGGTAGGTAAGTGAGCCTGCAATCCTACGTTCTCACTACAGCGGGACACCAGGGCTCCTGCAATGCCGTTGAGCCGGGTGCAGTCGGACTGCCTTTACCACCACCTCCTCCTCCTCCTCCTCCTCCTCCTCCTCCTCGGGATGGGGCCCCTTAGGGTCAGATTTAGGTCAAACCCACCTTGCAGCCCCCCAGTGGAAGCAAGGAGGGTTGCGGTGACTCCCAAGAAGGAGATGAACCTAACCGGCCTGAGCAGGTGATCGGTGACTCTTAAGGGGCAGCCACAGGTAGCCCTCATTAACAAGCCCTCATTAAACAATCCAGATTGTACCAAGAAAAAGGGACCCCAGATACTGCCACGTCCACTATCCGGAATTTTTCATCTTTCTTATTAACAATTGTTAAGAAAGATAAAAACAAATCTGGATTCTTATTCTCCTTCCAAAAAGACTCATAGGATCTACTGTCGTCGATATTAATCTGAGTTTTGCTTTACCCTTTAGTAGGATGAAGCCTGGTAGAGGCTGTTGGGGAAGTGAGGTTTTGTTTTTTGCTTTTTTTAAAAAAAAAAGTCCAGCAACTTCATTTGCGTGTTCTTTTTAATTTATTTATTTAGTGTATGGGGATGGTACACTTGGCCAGGAGACTACAGTGTTAGGACAAGTCTTGGCACTTTTAAATGCTGTGACATTGCCACGGCCACGTGATCCAAGTTCGGACACTTGGCAGTCGCCACAGATTTGTGAGGCTTGCAGGGTCCTGGGATTGCCATTTGCAGCCTTCCCAGCCGCTTCCAGCAAGGAGAATCAAAAGACGAAGCCGGATGTGTATAATGACCGTGCGCATTGACTTAATCGCTGCAGTGATTCTCTTAAACAGTGGCAAAAGACCTAAAATTGATCGGGGCTCACTTAGTAACCCCCATGCTTAGCCATGGAGGTTCTGCTTCCAGTTGTTGTCATAAGTGGAGCTGGGTTGCTGTCTGATAGAGTTAGGCTTCAGAGAATCTGGGTAGCTCAGCATTGAAATGTGGTCTCCAAGCTCGAATGTTTCCTGACCCAACTAGGGAACATCATCAGTGCTAGAAGGGGAAGATTGTGGAGAGGAGGAGGAGGAGGAGGAGGAGGAGGAGGAAGTGCACTGTGGGGTCTTGGTGTTCTCTGGCTTGGTGGATTTGTTGCAAACATTTCATGACCAACTAGGGAACATCATCAGTGCTAAAAGGGAGTGGGGTGTATGGAGGAGGAGGAGGACTGTGGTGCTCTCTGAGCTTGGTGGTTTTCTTGCAAATATTTCATGACCCAAATTACTGTAGATAACATCATCAGGGAGGAGGGGTTTGCAAGGAGGAGGAGGAGGTGGAAGATGAGGACTGTGAGATCCTTGGTGGTCTCTGAACTTGGATATTTATTGCAGACGTTTCCATGACCCAACTGGAGAATATCATCAGTGCTAGGAGGGGGGAGGGTGTGCAGAGTGGAGAAGAAGGAAAAGAGTAGAGAAGAAGGAAGAGGGAGGACTGTGTGGGGTCCTTGGTGCTCTCTGAGCTTGGAAGTTTTCTTGCAGACGTTGCATGACCCATCTAGGTGGCCTGATCAGTGCTAGGAGGGAGGGGGGTTTGCAAGCAGGAGGAGGTGGAAGTTGAGGACCAGTGGGGTTGTCTGAGCTCAGATGCTTCCTCGCAGACCTTTCAGTTCCCACCTGGGGAGTCCCATCAGAGCTTGGCTCTTCCCTAGAGAATGTGCCCTGGCTTTGTCCCTCGGGCGCACCATGTCCGTGCAAACCGGGGCCCTGCGTTAGTGCAAACGATGACAGTGCGTGCCCTGTTCCCTCTCTAGCTCCGCCAGGCACGCCAAGCCGTCTAGGCCTCACAAAGTGGTCAGGTAAGGCCGCTCTTCAGGATCCCTTCCAGGTGCTGGGGTTTTTAGGGTTCCGCATCCCACACGGGCTCACCTTGTCGTTGAGAGGAACACGGTGGGGAGTCGAAGGGCCTGTCCTTGGCCCGTTCCTCCTTCCCTTTCCTTCCTTTCCTTCTCTCCGCGCACCCTCTACCCTTCTCTTTCTCTCTCCCCAAAACCCAGGTCTAACCATCGGGAAAACCTGGGGCAAATTGATCTGAACATAAACATCCCGCCAGAGAACGCACAAGACCCTGTCACACCCGGTGCGCACAAGTAGGTGACTAGCTTTTGAGGTGGTTTTCCTTTTTCCCTCCTTTCTCCTCCTTTTTTCTCCCCAGGATCTGGGTGTATGTGGGTGCATGCACATTGGGGCACATAACACGGGAGGGGAGGTCGGTTGTAATTTAAATGGCTTGTCGCCTGCTGGGAAGTCAGGGAGAAGCCAAGAGACCGACAAGTTTGTAAAATCCATTCCAAAAGCTGTGCAGATAGCCCTCGACTTACGACAGTTCGCTTAAGTGGCCGTTCAAAGTGGCATTGGCCCTGACAAAAGTGGCTCCTGCCCAATTTTTTTCACACTTCCGACCGTTGTAGGATCTCCACGGTCGTGTGACCAAAATTCAGACGCTGGGCAACTCGTATTTATGACGGTCCCAGGGGTCACATGATCACCTTTTGCGACCACCTGAACCAGCCAAGTCAATGGGGAAGCCGGATTCACTCAACAACCTGGTCACGAATTGAATAATTGGAAGCGATTCGCTTAACAACGATGGCAAGAAAAGGCGTAAAATGGGGCAAAAGCTCCCTTAACAAACATTTCCCTTAGCAACAGGATTGTTGGGCTGAGTTGTGGTCGTAAGTGGAGGATGTCTCTCAACTTTAGCAACTTTCAGCCCGTGTGGATGGACTTCAGTTCCCAGAATTCCCCAGCCAGCTATGGGTGGAGGAAGAGGACACCCCTCTTGTTGGTCCTCTGTTAACAGGAGGTGTCCTTGAACTACATGCTCACTCTAGGCAGCTCCTTCCTTTAAAGTCACCATGGTCTTTGTCATGTCCAGGACGAGAGGTCCCTCCACTAAAGGGAAGTCCACCGAGGAACTGGAATTGGAGAAGATGCAGCAATTACAACAGGAAGTGGCGGAACTGCGGAGGAAGAACGAGGAGTCTCTCAAAGTGGCCATTGCTGGACCAGGTGAGACCTTGGTGGGGTTGGGAGACCCCGTTTCCTCTGAGAGTTTAAGATTCTTCCATTCTGGTTTAGATAAGATGTTCTACCCTGTTTCTCCGAAAATATAACCCACCTTGAAAGTAAGTCCTAGGGTGGATTGGAGTGGGAACCTAGATTGCATCTTCTGGGTATCATTAAGGAAGGTTATCCCTCCAAAGTAAAATATTTGATTAGCCATCTCCTAACAGCGGCACGTATCTCACTGGCTCAATTTTGGAAATCGCCTAATATACCACCGATACAATTTATTATTCAAAAAAACTTGTGAATGTGCAGAAATGGAAAAACTCATCACACTAAAATTAAAAGGAAAAGAGGAGGCGGAATTTTACTCGACCTGGAATAAGTGGTATAATTGGCTAGAATGTAAAAACAAAACGAAAAGGGGAATCAAGGGGGGAAAATAAGCTTATGAAACAGATTACGATACATACAATAACAAACAGGAATCGTTAATGTCAGACTCTTAGACTCTCTCGTACTTTAAACAATCAATAGAAAGAATTCATTGGTAAAAATAAATAAGTATAATCCAACAACAAATATTAACAACAGAACATGTTTGATAGAACATAAATAACAGAGAACCCATAGGAAGTAAGAAATAACTGCCACGTAATATAATTTTGAAAATATTTAACTCACTGTCAAATGTATTAAAGGAAAGTTTAATTAGTTTTACCACAGAGATTATGGTAACGTTTGTCTGTGTGAATCTTTGTTTTTTGTATATTTTAATTTTTTGTATTCAATAAAGTTGATAAGTTAAAAAAAAAAAGTAAGTCCTAGCTTGATTTTTACATGTGCACCCAATATAAGCCCTACCCCCAAAATAAGCCCTAATTCAGATCCCACCCACTCCAGTGTGTGCGGATAAAAATTAAGCTATGGGGTGGTGGTGGGGGGTGGAGCTGCCCTATTACTTACCTTTGGACAGTTGTAGCCAGGCCTCGCACACCCCGACACCTGCCTTGCTGGCCCATTTCTCCTGCAACCGGCAAGGCTGGCCAGGCTTTCCTGAAGGCCTCTGGAGCTGATGGCAAAGCTCTGGATCGATCCTGAGCTCTGTTATCGGCTGCAGAGGCCTTCAGGAAAGACTTGCTGGCCGCAGAATAAAAAGTTCCTGAAGGCCTCTGACTGTGAAAAGGAGGCCTGGGGGCGATGCACGCAAATGAGGTTAGTCAGTGGATGACGTCCCCCGAAAATAAGACCTGGTGCCTTTTTTGGCGGAAAAAATATATAAGACAGGGTCTTATTTTCAGGGAAACTCGGTAGTAGAAGAGACTATTTGTAGCTCTGTTGAACTGCTTGGTCCTTGGTTAATGGTTCTCACTGCCAGGAAATCCCTCCCTAGTTCTATGTTGCTTCTCTCTTTGTTCAGTTTCCACCCATTGATTCTTGTCCTACGTTCAGGTGCCTTGAAGAATAGTTTTGACCAGTTCTTTCTTGTGCTTTGGATGAGAGTCAGCCGTCGCTGATAAAAGTAGAATATTTGCAGCTTGGGGTTGAGCAGAGGGGTCCTTGGCGCTCTCTGGGGTTTAGTTGTTTTCTTGCAGACGTTTCGTTACCCAGCTAGGTCATATCATCGATGCTCGAAAGGAAAGGGGGATTTGTGGAGTGAAGGAGGAGGAGCGGACTGTGGTATCATTCTTTTGGTGGCTTTCTTGCAGGCGTCTCATGACCAAACTAGTTAACATCAGTATTAGAAGGAGATGGGGCTTGCAGATGATCTCTGAGCTTGTTCGACGTCTTGTAGAAGTTTCGTTTCCCGACTAGGTCATGCCTTTAGTGCGAGAAGGGAATAGGGTTTGCTCTTTGTTGATGTGCAATTCCTTCTAGCACTGATGAACTTCCCTAGTTGGGTAATGAAATGCCAGCAAGAAAATAACCAAGCTCAGAGAGCACTGATGATGCTTCCTACCTTCTAATAGGCCTGGAAGAAAACCCTCAAGGACCCTACAGTTCTTTCCCCCCCCCCCCCCCCCCCACCTATTCTTCCTCCTCAAGCCTCCCTCCATTCTAGCGCTCCCTACCTGGGTCATGAAATGTCTGGAAGAAAATGTTTCTAGAAAAGAGCGTAGAGAGAACAGCAACCAGGATGATGAGGGGAGTGGAGGCTCAAACATACGACGAACGGTTGCAGGAACTGGGCCTGGCTAGTCTAGGGAAGAGAAGGACCAGGGGAGACAGGAGAGCAGCCTTCCAGTGTCTGAGGGGCTGCCCCAGAGAGGAGGGAAGGGGTGTCAAGCTATTTTCCAAGGCACCCTTGAAGGCCAGACAAGGAACAATGGATGGAAACTGAACAAGGAGAGATTCAACCTGGAAATAAGGAAAAACTTTCTGACAGTGAGAACAATCAACCCATGGAACAGAAGTTGCCTTTGGAAGTTGTGGGAGCTTCATCCCTGGAGGCTTTCAAGAAGAGACTGGACTGCCATCGTTCAGAAATGGTGTAGAGTCTCTTGCTTGGGTGGGGGGTTGGACTAGATGACCTACAAGGTCCCTTCCAACTCTTGTTATTCTGTTATTCAGAAGTTGTGGGAACTTCATCCCTGGAGGCTTTCAAGAAGAGATTGGACTGCCCAAGAAGAGATTGGACTGCAAGGTCTCTTGCTTGGGCAGGGGGTTGCACTAGATGACCTACAAGATCCCTTCCAACTCTATTATTCTGTTAGACCCCCAAGGCCCCTACATTTGTTCCCCTCCTCCTCTTGCTGCTCAAACCTCCCTCTCTTCCAGCACTGATTATGCACCCTACCTGGCTCACGAAAGGTCTGGAAGAGAAAGAGCCAAGCTGACAGGGCCACCAAGAACCTCATTTGCCTTTGAATTGCAGCCTGGCTGACTTGTCCGATCTCCCTCTTTTTTTTTCCTGGTCAGGGCAACCCATGAAGACGAGCAGCCACATTACCAAGCCAATGGATTTCCACTTCTGTACCGACGAGCGGCTCAAGCAGCACGGTGAAAGCCAGCCGGCCACGGAATATAAGGAGGTGGATTTCAAAGCCGCCCTAAGAAAACACCCGCCGTCTCCGGTGAGGGGCCTGCAGCTGGGGAGGATGGGTTGGAGGGCCACTTGGTCAGAGGTGACAAAGGGCAGGAAAGGGTTGGGGCGGCCAAACAGAACAAGCCAGGATTTGGGGCTCTTTGCAGGGTGTCTTCAACTTACAACCACAATTGAGCCCCAGGGAGAGGTTTGTTCCCAGCGTTCGGCTCCATTTTACAACCTTTCGTGCCCCAGTTGTCAGCCAAGTCACTGTGCTAATAGTCCTCAGCTTACGACCGCAACCGAGCCCTAAATTTACATTGCTAACTGAGACGCCGAGTTGGTGAGTTTTGGCTCATTTGTTGACTTTTCTCACCACCTTTTGTTCAGTGAATCCCCGCTGTTGTTGAATTGGCCACACGGCCGTTAAAGTGAATCTGGCTTCCCCCGTTAACTTGGTTTGCATGAGGGTCACAGAAGCGGACCCTGAAACACGGCGACTGTCATAAATGCGAGCCAAGCATCTTATCAAGCCTCTGAATGTCAATCACGTGACCCTGGGAGTGTTGCGACGGTCGTAAGGGTGAAAAATGGTCATGTCACTTTTTCCCAGTGCCGTAGTAACTTTGCAGGGTCACTAAATGGACTGTTGTAAATCGAGGATGCAAAATCACGTTGATCCCTGGGACATTGCAACCGTCATAAATTTGAGACAATTGCTGAGTGTCTGAATTTTGATCACGTCACCCTTTCAAGACGAGACTGGACTGCCATTTGTCAGAAATATGGTGTAGGGTCTCCCGTTTGGGCGGGGGGTTGGACTAGATGACCTACAAGGTCCCTTCCGACTCTGATTATCTGTTATCATCCCTGGGGATGCTGCAATGGTTGTTGAGTGTGAAAAATGGTCCTAAATCATGATTTTGAGTGCTGCTGTAATCCCAAACAGTCACTACACGGACAGTTGTTAAGTTGTAGGTTACAGGTAGTCCTTGAGTTACAACAGTTCATTTAGTGACTGTTCAAAGGTTCAACAGCACTGAAAAAATGTGACTTATGACCATTTTTCACACTTAACGACCGTTGCAACATCCCCAGGGTCACGTGATTTCCAGTCGGATGATTGGCAAGTGACTCACAGTTATGACGGGAGGGATGCGATCCCTTCCTGGGGCATTTTGATGAGCAAAGTCAATGGGGAAGCCAGATTCACTTAACAACCGTGTTGCTAATTTAACGACCCCGGTGATTCACTTAACAACGGCAAGAGAGATTGGGGCAAAATTCACTTAACAACTGTCTAATTTAGCCACCTAAATTTTGGGGCTCAATTGTCGTCTCGAGTTAAAGCCTCTAATGTCCCTTCCCCGTGTTGAAAAGGGGAATTTTTAAAAAATAGAATAGAATTCTTTATTGGCCAAGTGTGATTGGACACACAAGGAATTTGTCTTGGTGCAAATGCTCTCAGTGTACATAAAAGAAAGGATACATTCATCAAGAGTCAAGAATCATCAGGTACAATACTTAATGATAGTCAAAGGGTACAATAAGAATAGAATAGAAATAGAATAGAATAGAGAAGAGAATAGAAGAGAATAGAATTGAATTCTTTCATTGGCCAAGTGTGGTTGGACACACAAGGAATTTGTCTTGGTGCAAGTGTACATAAAAAGAAAAGACACATTCGTCAAGAATCATCAGGTACCACACTTAATAATAGTCATAGGGCACAATAAGCAATCAAATCATACTAGGAAACAATATAAATCGTAAGGATACAAGCGACAAAGTTACAGCCATACAGTCATAAGTGGAAGGGGATGGGCGATAAGGAGTGATGAGAAAATTCATAATAGTAGTGCAGACTTTGTAATAGTTGAACAGTGTTGAGGGAATTATTTGTATAGCAGAGTGATGGCCTTTGGGAAAAAATTGTTCTTGTGTCTAGTTGTTCTGCTGTGCGGTGCTCTATAGCGTCGTTTTGAGGGTAGGAGTTGAAACAGTTTATGTCCAGGATGTGAGGGGTCTGTAGATATTTTCCCAGACCTCTTTTTGACTCATGCAGGATACAGGTCCTCCATGGAAGCCAGGTTGGTAGTAATTGTTTTTTTCTGCAGTTTTATGTTGTTAATAATAATAATAATAAAAAAAAAACCATAACCAAATGGCAACCAAATTGCCTTCATGCATTCTTAAAAGAATAGGCAGCTTTTTCACGGATTTGTCTCTTCATCCCACTCACCCCCCTCCCAACCCTCGTCCCCTGGTAATTTTTCGGCCTTCTCTGAAGTTACACAGCTGGCTTAAATTTCACTTGCGGCGAGCTGGAGTGGGAAGCTGAAGTGGGAAGATTGACAGGCTGATCGAATGGAAACGGGTGAGCGCCTGCTTTGCTTTCCGATGGGGAAAACCCACTTGAATGATGCAATATTCCTTTTGCAGTCCCGGGCGAGCAAGGGACCCACCATCCCGAAGCCGTTCAACCTCTCCTGCGGTAAAAAACGGAAACTGGACGAGGCCCCCACCGAATACATCCCGCTGGCCCAACAGGTGGAAAACTTCCAGAAACGCACCCCTCAGAGGTACCACCTGCGGAACCGGAAGGAGGAAGAAGGTAAGGCTAAGGAGCAGTGGTGGGTTTCCACATTTCTTCCTACCAGTTCTTTGAGCGGTTCTATGCGCGTGCAGGGCTCGAAAAGACCGAACGCTGGTGAGCCGAGCTGTTGTTTTTTTTATAGCTCAGCTGAGGCACAGCAATGCACTCTGCTGTGTGGATCAGCTGAGCTAAATCCTCCGACCCAGGCTTCGTCCATTGTAGTTAATTCTCAAACTTGTTTTAAAAGCAAAACCTATTTTACTGCAATGCTGGGAATTGCTTTCATTCCCAGCCTGAACTAATCTTAGACAGTTCCCCAAGATAAGCACGCACCTTTCAGTTCTGTGGAATGCTGCCACAAACAGAAGTATCCAATTAACTAGAAAAGAAACCAACCAAAGTACAAGAAAAAACTAACCGAAGTACACAGAGCTTCAAGGAGGACTATGCTTCCTGCAAAGGTTTCTCCACCTTTGCCTGACCTTTATCTCTTATGGGAGGGGCAATCGTCTCTCAGCCTTACTCCCGAGTCGCCCCTTTTGTCTCAGCTGCTCTCGCCTTCTAGCAGCTCTGCGCACACACGGACTGAGAACAGGCTCCCCTTGTTCCTCTGCTTCGCTGCTGCTCCAAAGGCTCGGGAGGCAGCACCCCACTCCCAGATGGTCCTGGCCCCATCTCTGTTTCGGATGCAGGACCCTCGTCCGAGTCCTCTCCAGACTCCAGGACTGGCCCCCTTCTTCCCCACTGTCCGATTCCGCTGCCCTATGCACCGGCTACCGGCGAACCACAACACTAAAATCCAAGAGAATATAGGAGATCTAACGGCGGGGGCGGGTGGGCATGGCCAGTCAGAGGTGGTATTTGCCGGTTTTCCAAAGTGGTCAAAATTTCTGCTACCGGTACGCCAGAACCGGTCCAAGCCAGCTGAGTCTCTACTAAGGAGGTCTCGTTTCTACGGTCTCTGTCACGGGCTGTTACGTGACTCCAGCCAATGGCGGCTTGCTCCGTCAATCAGGGTGAAGGGTTCTGAATGATTTGGGGAAGCGTTTGCTCTAAGTATTGAACCCGTGCCCGGCTCAGCTCCCCTTCCCTTTTGGGCGTGGGCGAAAGGGCTGGGATAGTTGGGTTTGTTGGCAGGGCGTCTTGAAATGGGGAACGAGGAGGATTAACGCAGGAGGTCTCCAAACCTGGAAACTTTTAAGGCTTGTGGATTTCAACTCCCAGAATTCCTCAGCCAGCCACGCTTGTGCTGTCTTGATGATCTATTGCAGAGGTCTCCAAACTCGGCAACTTTGTGGACTTCAACTCCCAGAATTCATGGGCTGGCTGGCTGGGGAGAATTCTGGGAGTTGAAGTCCACAAGTCTTAAAGTTGCCGAGTTAGGAGAGCCCTGGCTTAACAGAAAGCACTAAAGGACCATCAATTTTTAAAGGACCATAAATCTTTGTATTGGGGAGGAGGGGTGTGTTTTTCCTCCAAAGCCCAGCTGTGAATTGTGGGGAAGTTGAAAGGACATAAAGTGTACTTGAAACAAATTCATAGAATTCTATGTGATCTTAATGATGACAATGACTAATTGAGCCCACAATTTTGGTCATCATATCACGGCACCTGATTTGACAAAGTTTTTTTTAGTGATGGTTAAGTGAACCTATTGCCTGTTTGGTCTGGTGGCTAAAGTGCCAGGCTAGAGCGGGAGATGGTGAGTTCTAGTCCAGCCTTGGGCATGAAAGCCAGATGGGCAACTCTAGTCCATTCACTAGGAGATGGTGAGTTCTAGTCCTGCTCTAGGCATGAAAGCCCAGCTGGATGACTCTGGGCCAATCACCAGGAGTCGGTGAGTTCTAGTCCCGCCTTAGGCATGAAAGACAGCTGGGTGACTTTGGGCCAATCACCAGGAGTCGGTTAGTTCTAGTCCCGCCTTAGGCATGAAAGACAGCTGGGTGACTTTGGGCCAATCACCAGGAGTCGGTGAGTTCTAGTCCCGCCTTAGGCATGAAAGCCAATTGAGTGACTTGTGCCAATCAACAGGAGACTGTGAGTTCTAGTCCTACCTTAGGCATGAAAACCAGCTAGGTGACTTTGGGCCAATGACCAGGCCACTGGCAATTGGTTGAGATTTGCCAGCCTTATCCTTCACTTGTGTCTAATTCCCGCCGTCTTAAATTCAGTCCCGCATTTGGGGCACAATCTTTGCGTGCGTGGAATAAAGTGAATTCCTAAGCCAGTCGACCAATTTGAATCCATTTCCTCCCCCGCCGTGCCTGTGTAAAAGTCGCATCGCTGATCTTCCCCCCGTGCTTTTCTCTCTCTGGCCTTTCTTTGGCACAGGTCCAAGCAGGCCTTTAAAACCCCAACTGACCAACCCCAAAACTCCCTGCTTGGAAACCAAGCGCCGTTTGAGACCCCCCTCTTGCAAGAGCGCGGCTGAGCTGGAAAACGAGGAAATCGCAAAGCTCCAACAGTGAGTTGTTGTTTTTTGTTTTTCTTTTAAATTATTGAGTAAATCTTAACTCCGGTGGACTCCCACCCGGTGAACAAAAACATTCAAGTCAGAATAGGGCTGGAAGGGACCTGGGAGGTCTTCTAGTCCAACCCAGTGCCCAAGCAGGAAACCTTAACACCAGGGCTGGCTAACCTTTTTCGGCTCCTGTGCTGATAATTGTATGCGCGCTGTGCATCTCCCCCCCCCCCCCCCACACGCACACATACCCCACCCCCTGCGCATGGGTGCCAGATACCTGACAACCAGCTGTCGTGCAGCAGCGCACACATGCGCAATGGGGCTATTCCGTGCGACCTCTTGCACGCCGGGGGAAATGGTTCTGTGTGCCACTTCTGGCAGGTGTGCCATAGGTTTGCCAACACGGCCTTATACCCTATACCTCCTGTGTTGGAGGACCCACAACCTCTGGTGGCAGGCTGTCCCACTGACTGGTTAATTGTTCAGTCAGGAAATTTCTCTTTAGTTCTAAGGTTGCTTCTCTCCTTGATGAGTTTCCACCCGTTGTTTCTTGTCCTACCCTCAGGGGCTTTGGAGAATAGCTTGACTCCCCTCTTCTTCTTTATGGCATTCCCCCAAATATTGGCATCCTGCTATCATAGCACCCCTTAATTCTTCTTTTGTAGACTAGCCACACCCAAATCCTGCAGCTGTTCTTCGTGTGTTTTAGTCTCCAGGCCTTTCATCGCCTTAGTTGCTCTTCTCTGCGCTTTTCCCAAAGCCTCAACCTCTTTTTTTTGTAATGTACGTTTCTGCTATTTATCAGAAATGGTGTAGGGTCTCCAGCTTGGATTGGGGTGGGGGTGGGGGTTGGACTAAATGGCCTCCAAGGTCCCTTCCCACTCTGTTAATCTGTCATCTGTTCGGTGCCCTGAGCCACAAGAGCACCTGACTTTACCCTGGAGAACCTCACCCTCTGCTCCCCCTTTCGACCCCAACAGGTACCGATTCAAGGCTCAGGAACTCAACCACCGCATCTTGGAGGGCGGCCCCCTCCTGCCCAAGAAGCCCCCCATGAAAGAGCTGACCAAGCCCATCGGCTTCAACCTGGAAATCGAGAAGCGGATTCAGGAGCGGGAGACCAAGAAGGTCCAGGAAGAGGAGCCCTTCGAATTCCATTCGAGGCCCTGCCCAACCCGGATCTTGGAAGACGTGGTGGTAATTGTGGGGTGGGCTTCTTCCCCTCTTTCCCAGAAAGGTTTGACACCTGAATCGTGTGGGAAACAGGTAGTTCTCTACTTACAATTAACCCCATTCATTTAATGACCGAAGCTACAACGAGCAGTGGAAAAAGTGACTTAGGTCCTTTTATTCCACACTTAATGACCGTTGCAGCATTCCCCCACGGTCAGGTGATCAAAATTCAACTTGACTCGTATTTATGACAGTCACAGTGTCCCCAGATCACGCCATCCCCTTTTGCAACCTTCTGGCCAGCAAACTTGAGTGTGTGTGGGGGAAAAAAGATTCACTTAACCGTGTCACGAACGGGTCCTCCTTGACTTTACGACCGTTCATTTAAGGACCTTTCGAGATTACAGTGGCCTGGAAAAAGACGAACTTATGGCCATGATTCACACTTAACGACCGTTGTAAGCATTCCCCATGGTCACAGGATCAAAATTTAGACGCTGAAAGAAACTGACTTGTATTTATGATGGTCGCAGTGTCCTGAGGTCATGTAATTGTCAGGATTCCAGCCATCGCCCGATTCAAATCATGATTCTCGAGCCAAACTTCAAAAAACCTCATAGGATTTAATTGAGGCGACATCCTGGCCCTGCCCTGGATGAAGCCAACTCTGGCCTGCGTCATTTCCAGTCCCCTGGGACCCTGTTTCCCCCCTCCCCGCCGGGTGTTTCATAAACCAGATTCTCCCATTGAGCTCTCCTATGGGCTGGGTGTCATCAATCATGTTCTCCAATTCAATATATTCACGGGCAAAAGCTCTGGCATTTTAGTTACACCCTTTTAAAGATAAGAGTTGGAATGTACTTCCGCTTCCCAACCGCTGCTCTGCTCTTGCAGATTTCCTTCCTCCCCCCCCCCCCCCCTTTTTTTTAAATGGCAACTACTAAAACAGGCATGGGAATATTTTATGAGTTGACATTCGGCTCCTCTCACTTCTTGACCTTTATAAAGCAAAACTGAGATAAGCTTGGAATGTTCATTTGCCGTCTGTTCCTTCAAGGTTCTCCCACCCACCCCACCCCTTCGTATGGCCATTTGGAAACGGTCATAGGAATGTTTTACAAG